CTCGACTATAGCATTCTATCTATTTTTTAAAATTTTTTGTAATTTTTTTGATGTGATGTTGAGAAATTCAAAAATATTAAAAAATGTCCCAAGGCTGAAGTTCTGAACTCCATAACTCAACTTATCTTTATCGGATTTTGAAGTGGCATACCTCTAAATGTTTCTGGTGCAATTCTCTAAAAGTCTGCATTCAAATTTAGAAATTAATTTTTTTTTTTAATTTTTTGTAATTTTTTTGATGTCATGATGTTGAGAAATTCAAAAATATTAAAAAATGTCCCAAGGCTGAAGTTCTGAACTCCATAACTCAACTTATCTTTATCGGATTTTGAAGTGGCATACCTCTAAATGTTTCTGGTGCAATTCTCTAAAAGTCTGCATTCAAATTTAGAAATTTATTTTTTTTTTAATTTTTTGTAATTTTTTTGATGTCATGATGTTGAGAAATTCAAAAATATTAAAAAATGTCCCAAGGCTGAAGTTCTGAACTCCATAACTCAACTTATTTTAACCGGATTTTGAAGTGGCATACCTCTAAATGTTTCTGGTGCAATTCTCTAAAAGTCTGCATTCAAATTTAGAAATTTATTTTTTTTTTAATTTTTTGTAATTTTTTTGATGTCATGATGTTGAGAAATTCAAAAATATTAAAAAATGTCCCAAGGCTGAAGTTCTGAACTCCATAACTCAACTTATCTTTATCGGATTTTGAAGTGGCATACCTCTAAATGTTTCTGGTGCAATTCTCTAAAAGTCTGCATTCAAATTTAGAAATTAATTTTTTTTATAATTTTTTGTAATTTTTTTGATGTCATGATGTTGAGAAATTCAAAAATATTAAAAAATGTCCCAAGGCTGAAGTTCTGAACTCCATAACTCAACTTATCTTTATCGGATTTTGAAGTGGCATACCTCTAAATGTTTCTGGTGCAATTCTCTAAATGTCTGCATTCAAATTTAGAAATTTATTTTTTTTTTAATTTTTTGTAATTTTTTTGATGTCATGATGTTGAGAAATTCAAAAATATTAAAAAATGTCCCAAGGCTGAAGTTCTGAACTCCATAACTCAACTTATCTTTATCGGATTTTGAAGTGACATACCTCTAAATGTTTCTGGTGCAATTCTCTAAAAGTCTGCATTCAAATTTAGAAATTTATTTTTTTTTAAATTTTTTGTAATTTTTTTGATGTCATGATGTTGAGAAATCCAAAAAAATGAAAAAATGTCCCAATGCTGAAGTTTTATACTCCATAACTCAACTTATCTTAATCGGATTTTGAAGTGGCATACCTCTAAATGTTTCTGGTGCAATCCTCTAAAGATCTGCATTCAAATTTAGAAATTTATTTTTTTTTAATATATTTGTAATTTTTTTGATGTGGTGATGTGTAGAAATTCAACAAAGTTATGATATGTCCCAAGGCTGAAGTTCTGAACTCCATAACTCAACTTATCTTTATCGGATTTTGAAGTGGCATACCTCTAAATGTTTCTGGTGCAATTCTCTAAAAGTCTGCATTCAAATTTAGAAATTTATTTTTTTTATAATTTTTTGTAATTTTTTTGATGTCATGATGTTGAGAAATTCAAAAATATTAAAAAATGTCCTAATGCTGAAGTTCTATACTCCAAAACTCAACTTATCTTTATCGGATTTTGAAGTGGCATACCTCTAAATGTTTCTGGTGCAATTCTCTAAAAGTCTGCATTCAAATTTAGAAATTTATTTTTATTTTTAATTTTTGTTGATGCTATGATCTTGTTTTTCGTTGCATTGCTTACTTAATTTAAGTTTGTTTTAATAAGAAAAAACAACACGTTTTGGATAACTTTGAAAGTTGTAGTGATTCCCAGAATTTAATTTCTCGGACTGATTTTGAGTTGCCTATCAGTTTAAAAGGTGGCAGGCGAGTTGGCATGACGACGTAGCGATTTGTAGGCACTTGCTCGACTGAGTGGGTCCTAATGCCGCTCACAATTAAATTAAATAACACCATAATTAATTACTACCCACGCACACACCCCGCCCTCGCTCCCGCACTCGAAGGACTTGATTTGCTGGCCAAGAAGGTGCTAATGTCCTGGCCCATTCATTGTGGACTGGATGGTGTGATGGTGTGCGTGAGTGAAATAAAGAATGATTTATGGCGGTAAGCTAACTAACGTTCAGCACCACGCATGTTCTTGTTCTCACAATTAGACGCTGACCCCCAGTTGAGAAAAGTGGGCGGGGTCTGGCTTGGTTGGGGGTTGGGGCTTGCCCCTTTGAGAAGGGGCCATAAATCGCATCGTAAATAAAGCAGCAGCATCACAATGGAGCCATCAACTTTTGATGCAACTTATAACCGTATTTGGCCATAACGGCGCCAATGGGCCTGCATTGATTGGATAAATCGAGCATCCTTAACCGCGCCCCATCAGCCATCGCTCGAATGTCCGCCCATCAAGGAGCAGTGATAACGTGTAAGTTCCTGGTCGTCCTTGGTCCTCCTTGGTCCTTCAGCACAGCGACGTTTAATGTTAACGAGCGAATGGCCGTGGAATAAGTGCACTCCTTTCCTGACGCCTTTATAAATTGTGTTATGCATAAAGTTTATGCGAACATAATACGTTGAAATATAAGTATATATACATAATATATATTTTTATAGTCAAGGGTTATCATCGCGGCTGCTTTATCTCGCTCAACTGCTGAAATATGCGCCTCTTCCTTGCGCCCGCAATCTGTGGCACATCTTTTCCATCTTTTTCAGGCTGCATGTTCATTTGAGGCGGTCGAACTCCTGCTGCACAGCATAAAATCCACCCAGCCATGCCACATAAAACCAGCGAAAAGCGCTGAAATTATGGTGCCCACTCATTGTGTTGCAGCTTCTCACCTCTCCGAGCGAATGAGTGAATCTGCAACGCCGCAAAGTTGCACAGATGCCCCGCATTCCATTCCATTTTTTTCCATGTCAGAGGGGCTGCTCCGACATCGGTTTATTAGTACGCAATATAAAAATATTTTTACAAGGCCTTCGACTAAGCCTGAATGACTAAAAAAAGTACAGAGATGAAAATAATTAATTTATTGCAAATTCTAAACTAAACTAACTAAATTATGATAAATTGAAGATTTATAAAAATGCTGATGATAATTAAACATTTTTGTCATTTTTAACTATAAACTTTCTATACTATTCATAAAATCGACTATGTTAGTACTATTCTTAGTAAAAAAACAATATACTTTTTTTTGTATTGTTTTAATTGAGAATGATAGTGTCCAATTGAAATAGTTTTGCAGCTCTAATAAAAACGCATAAATCGTATTGCAAAATAATACTATACTAGACACGGCTTTCAAAATGTGCACGTTTCTGTTTGGAATAAAAATAAAATTAATTATTTATTTAGGCATTTATCGCTAATCCGTATTACAAAATAATTGGAAGCTTTGTATAAAAATGCTGTAATTATATGAAATTAGAAAATCGCCACTTGCAACGCGGGTACCAATTATTATACAAATCCCGCGGTTGGCGCTCCGTTCCCGAAGAGATGCCTCCAGGGCAGGCAATCCGATTATGTTGCACGTTCCAGGGCGGCCGGGTGGAACTTTACTTGCCACATGACGACTTTGCAGCCGGAGCCCGACGTGCGTCAGAACTGATTAATGAGCTGCAAATGATGTTATGCGCAACGGCCGCTCTGCCAGGGCGTAAATCAGGAATAATCGGGCGTGCCCCAACAGGAGTGGATTCCGTGTGGCACTGCCACTATACCACTGCGTACTATATGGGGTGGCGGCCCTCAAAATGATGCTAATGATGGTGGTGATGCGGCATTGTTCGCGTGCGCAGACAGCTTGACATTCATCGCTTGCATCTCACTTGTTGCAATGCAACAGCTGCTTCAGCTGCATCAGCTGCTCGGTGAGGAGTGAAGAGTGAAGGAGGGCAGCTCCATTATATCTTCGGAAGCTAAACTCGCAGCCACCAAAGGGACAGAGCCACACACTTGCCCGTCAATTGGCAGCTGTCGGCTTTAAGCCATTTTAAAAAGAAAATGTCTGACAAAGCTGCAACTAAAACTTTTTATGCCCCACTTTGCTGGGCCATTCACAACTTGTACGTGGCAAATAAAAGTGCACCCGGGGACCGGCTGCGTATCGCTTGCCAAATGGGATAGACAACACTCCCTTCCCGGATCCGAAATCCGAAATCCGAATCTGGCTTGGCCTGGAAACAGATTTAAGTATGCAGTTGTAAGCCATAAAATCAGCTTAATACTTCCGTTGAGCCACCAAATCTGAATTTATGGTCGACACAAGAAAAGCGCGCAAAATGGCAGTTCGGTGGCAGAAGTCGTTTCGTGAGATATCTTATCTAATAATAATAATTTAAGGCGGATATTTAATATAATATGTAAATGATAAATTATGAAATTTATATATATATTTTGAGATAACATAATAATCTTATAAATAGGGTATTTTCTCAGCTCAGCTTAAACTAAAATGCCCCGTGATACCCTATCGAGGGTGAAAGGCTTACACACGAAATCTGAGTTCTAATGGGAAGCAAAGTCATCTACTGGGTTACATAAGATATTTTCTGGGTTCATATGGTAGAGAGCACCTTGTGACACGGTTCGATTAGCAGGTCAGATGGCCACGAGAACCTCTGTTGTTGTTTCGCCTTGCGGAACTCAAACCACGGCGACCTGCCATCCAGCCTGCTTTCTTTGCCTCTTTGTCGCTCGTTTGCCAAGTTTCCACATTCATATTCATATCAACCAAAGTGAAAGTGCTTGATTAGCAGAAAAAATAAAGAAATCACCCTGCTGATGGGTGTATCCAGGCATGGGCATGTGGGTACATCTGAAATGACTGATTGCCTTGCCTCTTGTCAGTGATTAGTGTTTATGTTTATGCAAATCAGTTCTAAAGACCTGGCCCGGGCATAAATATAAATCAATGCTGAGCTCAGACCAACTCAAGTTACCTGCAGCAAGATGAGCAGCAGCCACAAGTGGACGAGGTTGCTCCTAATGGGCCTGATTGCACTTTTGAGTCGCAGTGCCAGCGCCTCGGGTATCTATGAGGAGCTACACTAACATAGTCCATTACCTAATGAATTTTTATGCAGCCAAACAGGTGGCACTGAGACCCCTGGCATCAGCAGAGGTTCGAGCTCTGGAGAACTCGATGGCCAAGGGGCGATCGGTAGTCAGTGGCCTGGCTGGCCTCACCGGCTTCGTCCTGGGCTTGGGAAAGGCCCTCACTGGGGTCTTCATCTACGATGTCATTACGGCCAATATCACCGAATCAGATGACACCAAAGTCTCATCGAACAGTGGTTCCTTTAGGGAAGTTTGCTTCAGCACTGGCAGCTCTAATTCGGATATGACCTGCCTAGTTTACTATACACATAACGGAAACTAATAAATAATTACTACGAACTTTTTAAGTTGGGATAATCAAAAATGGCCTGAATTTATTATTAATTCATTGTAATTTCGATCACCACGTTGTCTGCGTTATTAAGTCGTAGTAGACACGAGCCCTTTGCAAAATGATTCTGTTAATGGATCTTTTAAAACCTGTTTGGGGTCGCGGCGCTGCCAAGGGTCAAATGGTTTTATTTTCGGCGGAATTTGGGGGAATTTGCATATGCGAAGCTCGAAGAAACTTTCTTTGCTTCTCGTCACAGATAAAAGTGAAGCAGAACCCGTCGGCCGTTTCAGTTGGATTTCTACGCGATTACGCGAAAGATCTTTGAGAAGATGAAGTCGTTTGGGAACTTGACCTTTGGCCTACTCGTCATCCTTATGGCATGCCTTACTGTTCGCTCGGAGGGTGAGTTGTGAAAGTGTGTTTTTTGGAATTTACTTGATCACTACTCCGGAATTCAAAGAACCGAATTGACCGAAAATAAACCGTACCCTGCCTGATTTTTAGCTCGTCGCCTGGCTCTGCGTCCACTGACAGGAAGGGAACTGAGAAGGGCTCTTAGAGAATCCGGATTCGATGTGGATTCCGCAGCTGGAAGATCAGTGGCATCCGCTTTGACCGGACTCAGTGGATTCGCCCTGGGCATCACAAAGGGCATAGGTGGCTCGATTCTGTTCGATGTGGTCACCTCGAACGTGACCATTGATTACATCACCAGTCTGCTGAACTCCACTGCCTCTTCATCGTCCTCAAGCAGCAGTGGAACCGCCCAGGAGATCTGTTTCAACAGTCGCAGTGTCGACGGAGAGGTCATTAACGGCAGGAGTAATGGCTATAATGGCATGGATGATGACGCAGAACCTAATGGCGAGTGGAGGCAGACCGATGGCTCTGTAACTTCCGTTAGCTCTGGCACTAGTACTGCTCCTGGTACTGGCGCTGGTACTGCTCCTGGTACTGGCACTGGTACTGCTCCTGGTACTGGCACTGGTACTGGCACAGGTACTGGTACTGGCACTGGTACTGGCACTGGTACTGGCACTGGTACTGGCACTGGTACTGGCACTGGTACTGGTCCTGGCCCTGGCAATGGCCTCACATGCATTGTCCTGAGCAAGGAGGGTTCCCGTCGCCGGCGTCAGTTGCGGATCCGTCCAGGAACCTTGAGATCTGTGTATCCGGAACGCCATCGGCAGTCACTGAAAAAGTACAGCAGGCAACGGGTTTAGGGCATAGGCCCTAAACTTACTTTAAGCTAACTTATTTATTGATTTCGATTAGTTTATTAAATTTTAATTGCTCCGCATTCCATGGGCCTGGGTGGGCTGGCTTCATTAATGGCCGAATGACTTGGGGAAATCTTGGATTGACACATTTATGATTTGCTGACATGCACTCTGGGTTTTCGTCCGAAAACATTTTACAGGGAAAGTGGACTCGCCGACGAGCAGCGAACATTCATATGTGACACACAGGCGGGCGCACTGAACGAAAAGGGGGCTAACTTGGTTGAGATGAGAGTTATTGGTTTGTTTGCAGGGTATATTAAGCCTGCTGTATAATTTTAAGTATTTATGTGTTTCCTTATCTCTAGTTTGGTATTTCTCTTCTGTTGTATAAACATAAAAAACGTATGTATTTTTCTTGGTGCTGCCATTTGCTGCGTCACGCGTATCGCGGTGGCAGAATGGTTATTAATACAAGCTGAAAGGCACGCAGCATGCCACACCCACTCCGAGTCCCCCCTTCCCGTCCTCTTACCACCTTCCCAACGCCTTTGGTCCTTATGTAAACATTGAAATGTCATTGACGTCGAGGGCAGCCGCCCGGCCACATAAATCCTCCTTGGCCACAATTTATTAACTTTAACACTGGCCAATGTCAACGGCCTCCCCTGTCCCCCGTATCCACCCGCCTCCCCCGCCTTCGCCTATTGATTTGGATGCGGAATTTATGTGGATAAAGGACCTCAGCCCCGCACTTCCTCCAGCGAACTATTAACTTTGAATCTTCTTTCACGTCGAGTAAATTGCAGTGTTTATGTTATTGTCTGATCCTTGGTCCTGGCGATGTGTCTGTCATTGCCTAGGCAGGAATTGCATTAGGGACCATTTATTATTTATGTAAATGCGTAGAACTTCTGTCATGGCCTGGAAAAAGTGCCCTTAGTGATTAAAGTGCGGCGAGTGTCTGGCAGCAGCAAACTATTTCTCGAAGAAAATCAAACTCAAATTACCATATCTCTGCCCCTTTTAAAAGACCATTCAGACTCTCTCTGTGCGTACATATGCCATGGACAGTAGAACGTCTATAAGGTGAACTCAAGTCTGAGGGAAAGGATAAAAGTCGAACTGCAGTTAAGATGTGCTTTAGATGAATGCAAGCCTTATAATTGTGCCTCAACTCTAAAATTGGATAGAAATATATATATTTGTGTATGTAAATTCAACACTTGCAAACACGACTGTGTGTTTGTATATTCATGAACGAATCAGCAGCAAACTACAATTATTGTGCACTTTAGTATCGCAGAGAAAGCCAGCCTAATGACCGAGGCCGTGACCCCAGAAGGGCAGTTGCTCCCCTCGAAGCCCCGGAATCCCCGGCTGGAATTGCGTACTAAATGCGCTAAATTACTAACTAAATGCCGCAAGTGCCGCCCCTGGGCATGGCTAGAATTTCACAAATGAACGCCCTTTTTGGGTGTTGGCGGCGGGGGGTGGGAAAATGGCCGGAGGGGTGCTTTTCCAAAGCCGAAAAACTGAAGTCAAAGCAACAGCAACAGCAAAAGCAAAAGCAATAGCGAGAGCCGACAGTCGATGACATTTGAGCGATAAGGGAAACTGTTGTGTGGCTTACTTGCTGGCACCCCAGTGATTTTCTATACCATCTAATGGGGAGTTGGGCGTTGGGCCTGGGGGGTCAGAGGTCGAGGGCAAATGTGCTGCTTCTTGTGGTTGTTGCTGGCATTAAGTATGCAGGCGTGTGAATCGTGAAGGCGGCTATACAAATAGTAAATGCTAGCCGTCCTTTGAAGGCATCCACAGCGCTACACTTGCTTTTTACAACATTGAAAATTGTTTTAAATGTTAATGCCGATGCTGTTGGGCTGATACTAAAACCGGGAGGTGTGGGCGCGGTGTGCCAGAGTCAACAAATAATTGAGATGTTTTCCAGAGTGTCATCGCACACGCACGCTTTTTTATCCACCACCACCGCCCCCAGAGGCCATCCAAAGTGGGTGGTGCTCCCCGGTGGTCGAGAGTCAGCTGTTCCGAGTGCGCGCACTTGTGTTAAATTATGCGGGTTTGATTTTTATTGCACAGCCGCTCATTTCATTCTTTTCCCTTTTGTTTTTTCCCATTTGTTTTCCTTGCTTTGGTTTCCTTTGTTTTATAGGTTTCCCCCAAGAGGGTGTGGGCCGCAGGATGCCCACACCCACTGCCAAAATCAAAACCATCTCGAAAGTATAAACAAGTTGGAGGAGCCCAGCGGAGTGCCGAGCACGCGTGTGTGTGCGGCTGTAATTTGGTCATGCCTCGTTGCCCCAACGAGCTGTTGCTTGGCATTTCAATTAATGGCACTTGCCACCCTTGTATCTCCTCCCATCCCAGCCCAATCCTGCCCTCCGAGGGGTCAGCTCTTCCGACGCTGCACTCCTAATGAAGCCGTCTGAAGCCAGCGCCAGCTCCAGCTCCAGCTCCAGCTCCAGTTTCATCAGGAAACCAGCCGCAACCCCATATCTGCCACGAAGTTGAAGGTCTCGCCCCTTTTGGGTTGTTGTCAATGGGCGTCGAGATATATCTAACCACTACAAGAAAACGATACCGTGTTGTATATGATTAAAGATTACAATAATAGTTACGCATGGGTTGCTGTACTTCAGTTGCCATGACCACTTAAATATACGTGAATCACTCTAGCTGTGACTATAATTTTTAAGGATAACTGGAGCGTAGTGTTACAGACCTCTTTTTGTTTGGGGAAACGACTACATTCATTTTTTTGCGTGTACAACTGCAACTCCGCGGCGACACGTGACCGCAAGGACATTTGTTGAGCCTGGATGTGCCGCATCGCACGTCTTAATAGATTTTTGATTTGTTTGCTCACCCCCAGCTGGCAACTTAGCCTTCCCCATTCCGAGCCCAAGCCCGGATCCATATCCGAATCCGAATCCAAATCCAATTGTGAGGCGGGCGTGCGTCTCTGATTGGAATAATGATTTGGCAAGCGAAGATTGAACATAAAGCGAGCCAGATTTGTCGAGTTTTTGGGGAGTTACTTGTTTTTGTCAATATAGAAAATCAATAACGAGTATTTACCCATTGTTTTTGCAGCTACCGTTCGGTTAAATCGGACGAGGGTAATTCAATAAAGAAATCACGCAGGATGGCAAGAATTTGGTAAAATGGAACTCTCAAAAAAGGAAGATTAAAAGCGAGACCTGAAAGTTTGTCTATTCTTTATTTCTGGCCAAGAACAGGGGATGTTATTGGGCAACATTTTACAAATTGTTTCAATTAAAAAGTTTACTGATTTTGCTTTTTCGCCTTTTACTTTAGCTTTAAGCGGCTTGCGTTTGACACGTGCCTTCACCGCCACGCCCCACGCCTCTTTCGGTTATCGAATGGAAGTAATCGCTTTTTGGGGCGCTAATTGCGGCGACCTTGCTTGTGGGGTATTTATAAGTCCGCAAGTTGATTGCATAATACTGGCAATATCTGTACGACTTTGGGCAGCGGGCCAGTCGTAAGCTGGGAAAGCCAAAAGCTGGGCCAATCAATTAAAAATAATCAGGCGGAAAAGTTGTGGCCAATCTGCACAAATACATATTTCACAGTCGTTAATTAATTTAATTGATTTAAACGCTTCGGCTCGACCAGTCGCAGGGGCAGTTGGTGGGGTTGGGGCTGCTATCGAGTGCATTTGATCTGTTTGTTTGCACAAAATTAAATTGACTTGTAATTAAAAGTTTCGCAATTGATTGAAATTCTCGTGTGTGCTTTTCCTTTGTGTTCGCTGGGTGGCTGTGACTAAAACCGCTTGAGGGAACTCGCAGGAAATAAACAAAAAAAAAAAAAAAAATGTGGGAAAAAACACTGAAAAGTGCTAATTAGGAGCATTAATTAAAAATGCATTTTTTGCTGCTCAATTGAACTGCAGAGAACGTGGAAGTGAAACTGTCTTCACACACAGGACATTTTCTCTTTATGCTTGCGGTGTATAAGAGCGGATGTATAAGAGTATTCTTAACTGACCTATGGCAGGACATTTTTACGCGTTTTGTTTAGTAACTTAATGGGAGTGGGTTTGAATAAATGTTCTATTAAAAACAAAAAACCAGTTTTATTTAATCCCAATATGTAAAAATAAACTGAATTTTTAAACAAATTATATTATATTATATTATATTTTAAATGTTACCTGTCAACGAGCAAGAAAACCATTTGTATTAGACAGTATCACAAAGCTGCTCAAGTAGAAATATCTGTGAAATGTTCCATTTGATTCATTCTGCAAATGCGAAATTAGCTTACATAGTAAAACAATTGTTTACAAGTATTTCAATGCAGTGGCAATAGTGCTTTACTACCTGCCGTAAACAAACAAAGCATCTTAATGGCTGCAATCCAAAGTTGCTTGGTAATTTCGTGCTCCAATAATCCGGCTGAAGAGAGCGGCCCTGCAACGGCAGCTCTCTTTGCTCTTAGCCGCCAAAGAAAAAAAGGGCAGCTCTCTGTGAAAGCGGCCCGAGTGCCGAAGTGAGCCGAAGGCAAGGCGTTCGTTATGTGGCCATAGACGCCCGACCACCGATTACCAGTCAGTTCCATCCTGCGACTCGAAGGCGAAGCACGCGTTGCTTGATTTATGTGCGCGGGTTGTAGTCCCAGTTAATTCCTGTTCAGATATAGTCCTGTGTGGAGGGTTCCGAAAAAAAGGGCCTAATGAGTCCGGACTTTCGTGTTAATGGCGAATTAATGACGGGCGATTAAAATGCAGTAGCCACATGCATGGGGCGCCGTAATGAGCTGAACCGAGCGACTGAGTACAGTGAAACAGTGCCATAAATTAGAGGCCCCCCAGAAAGTGTAGCCTACTTAGCGGCTTTTGGGCTTACGATCTGTTTGAAGTGTTCGTAGACCGTTAAAACCTTTTACCCGCCAAACACACACACACACACCGCCCACAAGAAAAGTTGTTGTGCAAAGCTCATTTCGCAGCAGATTAAAAAAATAAAACAAAACCAAAAAAAAAAAAGGGCAACTCTCAGTGAAAACGAACCAAAAATAGGGCCAGGCGGAGAAAGTACTTTCATTGCTCCCCAGGCAGAGCTTAACCGAGAGTTTTGCCGGGCTCTAATTTGACGGAATCGTTAGTTGACCAGTGACGTTCAACCCCCAACACCTCCCCACCCCCGGAATCCGTTTGGCCGGATCCGGATCGCGTGCCGACTACAAGCGTAATAACAATAAACTTGCGGATAACAACCACAGATACAGATACAGCAGCAAAATGTCCCTGCCATCCAGAGCCAATTTCGGATTACTCAACTGGCTCATCGGCTGGCTGCTGCTGCTGTCGATGGTTTTGTTCAGAGGTGAGTTGTGCGTCGGGCTTTTTAATTAAATAATCCAATTTATTTTCATTTAATTTCTAATTAAATTTAATTTGTTTGCGCCGCGCTCTGGCCCATCCAATTGCCCCCATGCCCGGCTGTAACCCGAAGATTTTCCTTTGTCGCCTAGGATTTCCCGTCTAATTTCCGGAAAACGAGCGAGTTTCGGTGGCTGGGGAAGCGCGAGAACGCGAATTGAAAATTCTTTAATTTTTGTGCTAAGAATTTTAATTTCGCCACAGCGTCGGCAAAAGTTTTTCCTTTTGTCTCTGGCGCAAGTCGAAAGGTGAACCATTTAATGCCCATCTGTGTGTGACCCCCAAAGGTGGGGAGCCCACAAAATGAAACATTATACAGAGAGAAAAACCGCTTTTCTTTTTAATGCACCTATAATATATGTGTGAAACACTCTTTTTGTTTCTATAGAATAAGATGTTGCATTTTTATTTGAGTGAACAAAGTCACACTTTAAGTCTATTACTCTTTTATTCATTGATGTCAAAATATTTTAACCAAACTTTCAAAATATTTGTAAAAAACTTTAAATGCTATCATTGTTCTCATTCAGTAGTCAGTAGTACATATAAAATCACATACTAGAGCAGTTAGAAAACGCTGAGAAGACTAGTCTTTTACAAAAAGTTATTTACAAAAGAAGATATATGCACTTAAGTACTCCGGCTATTTGATTTTCGGTGCAATAGTGACCACTCCTGGCCAGAGTCGCAGTGTTGTCCATAGTGTGGGTCCTAGTCCTAGTTTCGCAGCCATCAAGGTTGGTCCAGAGACCAGCTGAAGGGCAGGAGGATGAATGGCGAATGGCGAATGGCCGCAGAGTGCGAATGCCACATGCAACGTGTGGGATGGGCAAACGGTTTTATATAATAGTTGCAACAGTGGGGCAGCAGTTTCACTTTCAATGCGTCAAATGAGAAGCACGCGCATGGGATGCCCAGCGCCACACAGATAGAAATGTGGGAAAATAAAAAGTAAATATGAAAAATAACACATACTAACGAGCGGCAGACACTTGGAAAATGCTGTTGAAGCTTGGTCATGGCCGAAATGCTTCTGGCTGCAGTTGCTGTTGCTGTTGATGTTGTTGCTGCTGGTGCAGCAGTAGCAGCTGCGTTGCATGTGGCATGTTGCAGTTGACACACGAAACTATTGCCATTGGGCTTGGCTTTCTGGATTTTAGTTTTTGGTTTTATACGACTTTTTGCTGGTTTTAAGTTTGCACTTTTTAGCTTTCAGCTAGCAATTTTCTAGTTTCCGTTTTCAGCTCGCCGTTTGTCATCTCTGAAAACAGTAAATTGCATTTTTATACAATTTTCCATCATTTGACTTGGCAGTTGTTCGTCTGGGCTTTGTAATTTTCAAATGAAATACTTTCCGAGTGCAATTCACTTTTGAGCAAATTGTTTCCTTCGCTCTGCTTTCCTTTGACTTGGCTGCTCCTTCGTCTTTTACCCGCCTATCTTGTTTGCCCATTGGCATCTGTCTGGCTATTTCATTTGGCTAAAAGCTACTTGACGTTGGTTAAGCGCAGACAAACAGACGAAATATCTCATCTTGGCAATTGCAAAAGAACCTGCAAAAAAGGCAAGCAATCAAAAAAGATTCCTATCGAATTACTGGGCTGCATTCTTTTTCACAAGATTTTTATTGGTCTTGCTCTTTTTTTATTTCTGACAAAGGTGGTGATTATTACTGGTCATGATAGTTATTTCAAATGCAATATTTAAATTAGAATTAAAATTAATTTATATTAATGTGGATTAAAATGAGCATAAAGGGCTGGCTAAAATGCCAAAAGCTAAAATGTGATTTCTCTCTATTTTAGCACGGAAAACTTGACAATTGGGCATATTCATTTTTTTAAGTAGCAATATTTTAAAAGTGAATTTTCATATTTCTGATTATTTTTATTGAAAAAAATATATGGTATGCATATTGGAATTTATTGAGGCAAGTTTTGCGGAACGCTGGGTGGCCGTTTGATTCGTTTTTCTTAAATTAATTGACAGGGAAAAACGCGATAAATGCATGCGCATATTTTCATAATGAATTCATAAAACTTTCGATCGTGTCCTTTCGCGGGCTCCTGTTATTTGGTTTGCTGGTTTATTAATAAATAAATTCTACCCTTGCGGTTTGGCTGTTTGTGTGTGCGTGTCATCCTGTATGCAAAATTGCAGTTATTTGCACAGCTGTTTTGCCATTTAAGCCAAACAAACGATTTTGCCCTTTTTCACCAACATTTCACTAGCTCGCATGTGCCGTGTTTTTTCCCCAGCCACTATTAAGTATTTTTGTAAATATTTTCCATGTCGCCAAAAAGGAAAAACAAAATGAATCAATGGCAAAAAAATGATAATAGTCGACGTGATTTTCCGTTGAGTACAGTTAATACAGAAGCAATGCCGATTTACCAAAAAGAAATATATATGTATATAATTGCTTGTGGGGTTACTCGACGTTGGCACATTATTCAGCGGTGTCAGACTGATGAATGAACCGACGCATTGGCCCAGACAAACACCTAGAACACGCAATGCCAATCCATCCCACTGCCATCCAAAACCATCCATTTCAGTCGCTATTATCCGATGAAAAACTCAGGAGGCGGCGCCTCGAAGTATGCAAAGCACATACTCAAGGGTTCGCAGGATCTGTTTGCCGGCGGGTACAGGTTATTCACACAGGCAACGGCGTGAAAACCCGCCGGATTTTTCGAGGCCAACCAACCAGATTTTTTCTTTATCTTTTTTTATGCGTATAAATATAAACATACTTGTTTTTTTTGGCCCGAAAGCAGCTTGAAGGAACAAACTTTGCCTGTTGTTGATTTTAATGGCATATGGCTTTAGAGGAATTTGTGATGAATGCGTGGTTAAAAGTTCCACCGGAAGGGCACTAGACTATGTTTTGCAGAAGATGTTTAGAGGAAAACTCAAAGGGCGTCATTAATCATTTAATAGACCACGGTCCTTACTTGAGGATGGTCAGGGATTGCAGAAATCTGGAAGTCATTTATTAAAGTAATTTATTTACGTTACAAAGTAAAATGTAATTGATGCATAAAACCTATTTAAAGCCTTGCTCAACTTGAGAAACTTTGATAAGTCCAAAATCATATGCTAACTAGAGCATGAACAACTTACTTTAAAATACGATTAGGTGCCTTAAATAATTATAATTCGAATGTCGGTAGCATGACATTCACGAATAAATACGTATTCGTTGTCAAGCGAGTTTCAGTAGTTAAGCAATTAGGCTAAGTATTGTCAAATAGTTTCTTCATTAAGCGGCTGCCTCAAAGTTTTTTCGGGCCAACAGATGAAAAGTTGCGCAAGTCGTTGACAAGGAGGGTATATTTTTTTTTAGCCAAATCCACAGCTTTTTCTATTATGATTCCGTTTCTAGGCAGGTCAAACCGACATTATTTTTTACCGCTGCCTTCGTAACACTTATGGATTTGACATTTATATGACAGCCAAGGTTTTCCTGTGTGCAAGATTGTTGTTTCTGCTGCTCGAGCCCCTTGAGTGTGTGCTTTGTTTTTTTTGAGGTATTCGTCAGGAAAATAATATATATAAATGAAAATTGTTTTTATTTTTACTCAATGGGAGCGGGCGCTTCCCGGTGGGTTGGCATCCATGTGCGTAGATACATACATGGAGCATTATTTTTTGATTCACTTGGCACAGCGCTTTCTTGCAAACTCAACTATTTCGGTCACGTAACTTTGGAGCACAGTGGAGAAAACTGAATCAGCCAAGAAAGAGCAAAATTTATGCATTTGATTTCAGCTAATTTTCAGAGTCCGAGCATGGCTGCGAATGGCTCTATTTTGTTTATCGCTGGCCAAATTATATTCTGACATAAATTAGCCAAAACTAGAGTGCTTTCTCTTCCCCCCTTCAACCAATTTCATTGTGGGCCTGGTTTTATGAACGCCAAAACAGCCTTGAGCCAGAAGGCGTGGCTATTAAAAACCACTCCACAATCGAAAACTCTTTAGCAGCTGTGCTGTCTCCCAGCTCTCGGCTCGATTTTAAAGCCTTTTGGCCAAAGTGCCAACCCAAATTGCACAGAAGCACTCGCAGACAGACAGACAAGTGTCGTAAAAAGGATATACACGCTATAAGTTTCAAGAGCGAGGGGTCTGCGGCACCGAAGTTGTCGATAAATCCACAGGAGCACAATAAACCAGTTGCGCGGCTCTAAAAATCGTGTAGGCCTCAATGGTTTTCCGAGGAAAATTCGTTTTATTAACACCGGGACACGTCACACGTGCTGGGGACAAAGTTTTCACCACTGCTGTTTTGGGCTGTTGCTGTTTTTCCCGGGGCGTGCCAGTAACCTACATGGGATGTTGCCTTACTTTGAGCCGCCTTAGCTTGAGCCTCGGTCCTGTCTTAGCCGCTTTTATTAAAAATTCCTCACACAATCGAGCCGGGGGATTGGGGATACAGGGCTATGGGTGTAATGGGTGTAATGGTGGGCACCGCTTGCTTGGGAGATGCCGAAATAAGCATGTTTAAGGCAACCAACTAGCAGGAAACAACCAACAATTGTCTATGCTGCCGCTGGTGTTGCTTCTGGTGTTGCTGCCACTTCGTGCTTCCTCCGATGTAGCAGTTTTATTGCTTTGTCATTCCAACATATTTCACACAGACACATCAGCAGCGGCAAAAGACGTTGGCGGCATCGTCGACATTTCGCAAAACTGAGCCGCATTGGTTGCTTATCCTTTCGCCGCTGTATTTTCGGTGATACCCTGCAGCCAGACGATGGGTTAGCTGTGGGTATATGCAATAGTTGGGTGTTATATTTAATTCTTATAGTATTGTTTTAGTAATGCAATCGCATTTCCGTGAGCTTAACTTCCACTTAAAATAAGTAAATTTATCGCGTATTTGTAAGCACTTTAACTATTTTTTGTATTCGCTGTAAGCTGCAATAAACTGCTGGTAATA